CCCCCCCCCCCCCCCCCCCCCCCCCCCCCCCCCCCGCCCGGGGGTGGTGATGGAGTACTCAGATATTCCCTATTCTGGCCACTGAGAGGACTTGGGAGCAGTGATACCCAGTAGTATCACTATACTACTATCACTATACCTAGTAGCTACATGCAGACCCAACATTCAGACCTTGCTTCTAAGTGCCATCCTCTATTAAAAGGAATGAGGACTCCTTGGAGAAATGGTTGATTCCCAAGGCAGGGGCAGGAAATAAAATGAGCCTGGGACATTTTCTTGTGCCAAAGAACAAAAAAGTGCTCAAAGAGTGGGAAGGACCTGTCAAAAAGACAGAGAAGCAGTCCTGAAGAGGCTCCCACTGGCGACAATGAATCCCAACCCACCAAATAAAACAGGGAATCAGGAGTGCACACAGAGAGAGACAGGCAGGCAGGCAGGCAGGCAGGCGAGGGGAAAACAAGTAACTCTGCAGTGAAGCCCGGAGAGCACACCTTCATTTAGTGATCAAAGGAAACATCACTGGTAATGGCTCCTATCCAGTCAAGTCCCAGTCTCTAAGACACAGGGAGAAGGTGGCAGTGTCCCTTCTATGGCAGTCCATCCAACCGGGAGCTTGGACAAATCCAGGTGGAGGGACATGCTACAAAGTAACTGGCCTGTAATCTTCTAAAGCATCACAGCTACATACGTCACAGCCTGAGGAGCCCTTCCAGACTGAAGCAGACCAAAGAGACAGAAAAGTAAATGCACTGCTTTGTTCTGGACTGGATCCTCTTCCTATTAAAGACACTATGTATACGACTGGGAAAACTCAAATGGGGGCTGATGATTAGATGGTATTATGTATCAGTGTTGGCTTCCTGACGTTGATGTTTGTATTACTGTTATATAGGAGAACACCCTTGTTCATGAAAAGCACACAGGTTGGCAGTTTGTTCTGGAATAAGAAGGAAAAATTGTGCTACACTTGCAACTCTCCTGTAAGTCTGTGACAGTTTCACAATTTTTTTTTAATTTTTTTTTCAACGTTTTTATTTATTTTTGGGACAGAGAGAGACAGAGCATGAACGGGGGAGGGGCAGAGAGAGAGGGAGACAGAATCGGAAACAGGCTCCAGGCTCCGAGCCATCAGCCCAGAGCCTGACGCGGGGCTCGAACTCACGGACCGTGAGATCGTGACCTGGCTGAAGTCGGACGCTTAACCGACTGCGCCACCCAGGCGCCCCCAGTTTCACAATTTAAAAAGTTTTAATTGTAAATGAAAAAAAAAGCAAAGAAGATAATGTCATGCTAAATTATCAGACGAGTTCAGATCATCCTATATGAGCTCTGTCTCGAGCAAGCCCCAACAGTCCCGCTTTAACTCCAGGAGCCATAAATGGTTTTGATGGGGACAGGGCGTTCTGTGACAGTGCTCAGAGGACACCCTGCCGCTCACTAGGATTGCCTTCCAACCCCAAACATGCAACCATCGATGGACTAGAACATGGCCTCGGCTCCTACCATAAAACCAAGCAATTCCAGTCTCCAGTCCATAAGCTACAAGACAGGAACTGGCCAACATCACTCACAGCAAGTCAGTTTTCTGAAATGACTGGCCCACCCTTCATGCCTTTGCCCATGTGCAACAAGAGCTGAGCAAAGAGAAAAAACTAACTTGGAATGCAATCCAGCAGCAAAGGAAGAGGCCACATTCCCACCAAAAAGTAATGACAGTAACTACTCCATCTCAAATCTGCATAGGGCTTCTCTATTTCCAAGCTTCTCTCCATCTGTGTTCTCACACGATCCATATAAAGGAAGGAAACTAGAGACCCCCAAGTCCCCTTATTAAGTCAAATTCCTATTACACAATGAACAGCACTGCACAGCACCTCCTCCATAGCCCTTGCAATGTGTACCATTGACAGTGATACACAGATGTGTGTGATTATTTGACTAGCCTTAGTCTCCCCCATTAGACTGCAGAGTTCAACAGAGCAAGGGTATAGTGTCTGCTCGGATACCCCAGTGCTTCACACTAGGCAGACACTCCAAAAATACTTGCAAAACGATCACATGGATACAGGGGAAGAATGGAAAGGGGTGGGGGTAGAAGGATGGATGATGGGTGGGTGGATGGGGGGTTGGAAGAATAAGGGATGGGTAGAAAGATGGATGATGGGTGAAAGGATGGACGGAAGGTGGGAGGATGGAGGATGAGTGCGACGATGGACGGGAGGTGGGAGGATGGACAGAAGGTGGGAGGATGGAGGATGAGTGGGAGGATGGATGGGAGGTGGGAGGATGGATGGGAGGTGGGAGGATGGAGGATGAGTGGGAGGATGGACGGGAGGTGGGAG